ACACACCACACCTAAACAACAAAGGAGAGGTAAGAATGACTGCAAGCACTGTGGAAGGGTGGAGGGGCTTCTTGAAAAAGAAAGAGCAGCAGCTCTAGTTCTCCTTCCTTAGAGGAAACAAATGTATTTTTAGAAGCAGTTGGTTCAGCCCCTAAACTAAACCACAAGTATTTGTCAGTGAATATACAGACATTTCCTGTGATGAACAGAATACCCAACAGACTGGGCGGAACACAACAAATAATGCAGAAGTAACAATGGTGTTGGCATGATTTATCCCATAAGAGGACCTACAGGATATCTTTACAGCAACAGAGAATAACTTATAATGCTGCAGGGTAGCTACTCTCTCTTATTAGCATGATACGCCCATTTATTCACACTCATAACCAATGACAAACAAGAATTACAAGGTATTAGGATGTTTCCCTTTATGTTTGCTTGGGTACAGCAATGTAAAATTGTTAATCAAATAATGAGTCACATGGCAGTCTTTAGGTGGGAGGAACAGCATTTGTGGGCAGAGAAACATTGTGTGCAGCATACCAGTGACATATGTCTTTGGCATGACAGGTTTCAACAGCGGGTCTTCTCAGGGTTTTGGGGTTTGTGTGATGTTTTATAGCTACTAGAAGTTGGACATTGCTTAACAGAAAACTGGGTGATCATAGATAGGAGTTGCTACATAAGAACTCTTCTCAGTCAGTAAAGAATGAAGAGCCATAAACTCTAAATGCTAATGTCAGATCAGTGTATCTTTGGGAGCACTAAGGCAAGGATCACACTGGTAAACCATGAGACTAGTACCTTGTGGAGGGAGTGAATGAAAGATTAAAAGCAGTTTGCTTATCACCATTGTATGGCCATTACAGTGATGAATGGTACAGAAGGTCAAGACATTCTGCTACTATTCTCACCTAAAAGCTTTAAAGTTTTGTTTCCATTCTCTTGGGAAAGCCTATTTTGCATGCACGACCCAACTTTAGCCCTTTCAGTCCTATCCTCCCCACTTTTTCTGTGGTACAGATGTTTATTTTTTAAACCCCAAACTCTTCTATTCCTAACTTTATCCAGTGCTGCTCGAGTGGTTTCTGCTGTCAATGCCATTAACCTCTTTGCTACAGCCTTCCCTACATTCCTAGTCAGTCTCATTCTCTCTCCCCTTCACACTCCGCATCTCAAGTGTCCCTGTTAGCTTACATGTCTGGTTTGAGAATCTTTCTGCTCTGAAGGGACAGACACAGGCTTGGAAAGGAGACACTATCCAATCCATCTCTAGGAGCAACCAGTATAGCTATCTCATCAGATGAGTAGTTCCTCTCTGCCTGAGTCCCAGCCTGCCACATCTTTGCACATACTCTTCTTACTTTCATTACTGGAAACAGATTCTAGCCCAACCCACAAAAATTCAGAAATACTGGAACAGTATCACAATGTGGAAAAAAAACCCAACCACCAAAAAACCCAGCAAACATTTTGCTTCATTTAGTTTGTACATATACAAACAGGAGTCTGCAGAACCTCATACCATGGCCAAAGATGGCCAGGTTTCCATGCCCATACTGAGAACTGATCTTTGACAGAAGTTTCAAGCCCTCAAATTCCACACCACCCCGTCTTCTGAGAGGCATCACACTTCACATCTGCTTCATCCAAATTCAAGGTCTCTTTAGCAAAGCACAAACCATTGTGCAACTCTTGTGAAAAATTTTAGTCAAAACTAATCCAGTTGACATCAAAACTTGAAAACTGATCTATACAAAAAGATGCAAGCTAGATGAGGGTCACTTTATTCTGCACAACACTTTAATAAATAATAGTGGGAGTAGGAACATCTTTTTACAAGTGTCATTGGTTGCAGTGACTAACTTTAGTTTAGGTACTTCAGTTTTATTTCATCCCTGCTTTAAGATAGCACTTTTGCACTTCCACAAGCATGTGGTATGAGAATTACCCTCTACATTTTTTATAGAAATGAGAACTTATTTATATTGAAATACTAATATAAAATTACATTGGTAATACTGCAACTGAAGATGAATGGCTTAACAAAAATCTTCCAGGCTCCCCAGAAATACTTTATTATAGATCTGTCAAGTAAAGATTAAGCAACCACAGTACATGTGATTTAGGGTCACAGCACTGAAAAGGACTATAGTTCCTTTTCAAAGCAATGTCATGAAAACTTAAAAATGTGCTAAAAAGTATACACACATTCCTAAACAAACAAGCAAACAAACAAAAACCCAAACCAAAAAGACTAAAATGTGAGTGATGAAAAAATAAAGCCTTTATTGAAATATTGTACTAACAACTTCAAGAATACTAATATTTAAAAATACTTTATAATTAAGATTCTCCACAACAAACATGTCTACTTTACAAATACAGCTATGTGCACAAAACACTAATTTTTACTTGAAGAAGTATTTCATACAGTTGAAACTCACATGTGATGACACATGCTTGATACTACATGTCTTCTGCCATGGAGAAAATCAGATGGCCAGCACTGTTTATTAAAGTTGAGGCAAGTTTTTGTAACAAGATGAATTTCTCAAACTGACAGAAAAAGATACCTTACTGTATTTTTCTTAAAAAAAAAAACCTTTACATAGAAGAAATAAGGGAATTCAAAAGTGCTTAACAAGAACAGCTGTAATCATTCTGTGAGGCAACAAACATCCAGTTACTACAGCCTGCCATTTTAGTGAGGTTGGTAAGTCAGGCTCACCAGCCAACAGACCTGAGCTATGGGAGCCCCTTCTTGGGCATGAAACACCTAATCGGAGCTTTTCTTGCCACACTGCAACTGCACATTCTTAAAACAAGCTAAGCTGACAAAAGCACTCTTGCCATCCTAGCTATACACAAGAGTATGCCAGTAGGACTTAACTGGGGCACAAGAATCTTTTTTACAGGCAAAGTGTGCCCTGGGGTTTTCCCACAGTTATGAAAGACCAGAAGATATTTCCCATATTTTAAATAAATTACAATTTGTCCAAATTACCATACCATGTTAAATCAGAAACTCAGAACCCAGGATCCTGTTTCTGTTATACTGGTCAAACATGAATGCACAGGAAGCAAGGAACAGGACATGCAGATGGTTATAATCCTGGTCCCTAGCTTTCTATGGCTCAACACTTGATCCCATAACAGTATCCGTATATTTAGCAGATCAATTTATTTCTTGACTTTGCCCAGGTTTTTTTAGGCCCGTGAAAGATTTTGACATCCATAGCTCCTGGGTAAAAAGAGGCAAGAGGTATTTTCATTAAATGTAACATTTTTCAGCTCAGCATAAAAGTTAAAAGTATATAAAATTATGCTTCCTCTGGAATACTGAAAAACTGAAGCACCACTACCATCTGCAAGTAAGGAAGAAGGATCTAAGATTCTGGTCAGTCAGAATAGTTGTAAGGACCCTGCTTATCCCAAATAATAATTCTACTCTATCACAGAAAGTTCATAGATGTCCTGGTTCCAGGAGAGCTTCACAACTGACAAAGCAGAGTGTTACTACAAAAAGGCGTATACACAATCTCTTAATTAGAAGCAAGCTTGGAGAGTGTCTTGTTTAAAGGTCCATGTTCAAACTTTAGCATGATCTTTCATTCTATTTGGTAAATGTGGGACTCACATTTTTCCTGTGATTATTAGCATGGCCTCTTTCTGCCAAAGGCATCCTTACATGATCCAAGTCAAAAAACTGCCTTAGATCATGTAGATCACCCATCAGTTAAACTGACTTAGGGTACTTTGTACATATTCTTCATCTATTGTATCTTAAAGTTAATGCTGTAAATCTAGAAATATTACTACCCATCTAGTTCAGAAACAAATTTACTTATAGGTCTCCAGGTGAGATCCAAAACTGGAAGTTAGATACAGCTCAGATTCCAAAACATCAGTTTCCCATAGGACCTGAGCTTCTATGCCAGTAAAAGTCCTGCATCACTTCTACATTTCTGCTGCTTGTTGCACAACTTCTCAAACTAGCACATCTTCAAAATAACCAGGAACTTTCCACAGGCTTTTCTTCAGTGTTCACAATTTAGGCATCCCACACAAATTTTAATTATGTAGTCCAGCACTGTAAGTACATTTTAAGCATTCTTAATGCTCTCAAAATTGAGGATATATTTGTGCTGCCACGTGTTACCTGGAAATTATTGACCTGGCATGCAGAACAGCTGCAGCCATCCCACTAAAAAGCTTCAAAAGACAATAAACGCACCCAAGTAGAGCTCAATTGTTAAGGCACAATAAGGGACTTCATTTCCAGGCACTATCACAAAGTCAGAAAGACAGACAGATATCTGACTTGGACACAAAGAGTTGTCCTGTTCTGATATGCTGAAATGGGACTTCTCATCTTTCTCATCAGCTAAGTTAGCCCTCCTGTTTTTTAAAAAAAGTAAACAAAAATCTTTCTGCTGACAGTATCATTCTTAGATGCCTACCTTCTTCTGCACTGTACAAGAACCTCAAACCACCAATTCATAAATAGTAGTTCTGTTCACCAGTAGGATGCCTGGAACTAACCTAATGTTTGACTGTTAGCATTTTAGCCCTGCAGTTTGAATACTGACATTTTTATTACTGTTTTTAAAATGAGGTGATAGGTCTTCTAACAGGAACATCAGCAAAATGTCAGGAGTCTTACAGGAGTTCCCATTAATATTTCTTCTGAACAGTTGATTTAAATCATTATCTGGAAAATATAACAAGTTTCACTTAGATTGATAGAAAACTGGACGAGGTAACAAATAATTATCTCTTTGGTTCTAGTGTGTACATTGGCTAATTGTTCTAGGTCTTGTGAGTAGGGAAAGTGTTTATCCACCAGTATAATGCTGCATACTGCATACTCCAAAAGCATTTGACCATATTAAATATATTATCTCACAGGCCAGTCTCATGAAACTACGGTGATTAACTTTAAATTCAAGTACTTTTATTTAACCCCATACACAGACTTGAGAATCTTTCTCAACATTTGTAGCAGTTTTTCAGTGTTCAGCAATTGTTTCTAGTTTGCTAAACAATATCAGACTGCAAAATTGCTCTTACTGTTGACAGATCAATAATGACATGGGGTAAGTCATTATCTCCGTGGCAACAGAATTGTGATGTTAGAGGAATATTGCGCATGTTGCTGCTGCGACTCTTACAGGCATGCCTCGGCTTCCTCACACAGGTGCTCTCTCTGCAATCCTGGTATGCCCAGAGTACTAACAACCAAGGGCACCTCTTAGACTACAGAGTCTGAAACTGCAACTATGATTATGTTATTCTAGAAGGAGCATATAATCATGAGGGTTTATTTCACTTCAGTTTAATGTCCTTATTTTCCTTATAAAGAACAGTGTCCTTATAGAAATAGACAGAATGAAATTCAGGAAGGCAAGTAATGCAAAGTTCTTTTTACAGCCCAACATTTTTTTGAAAGAAGACGTTTAGGTGCTTTTAAGAATAGAAAAATTTCTTTCTTTTTACTCAATTTTCATTTCATTCTCCTCTGACTCCCCAGGATCTTAAAGTGGCAGGAATCTTTCTGCTAGATTAAAACTACAAACTAGGCAACTTGTGCTATCACAGTTCACATTTGTTAAGCATCTGTCTTCGTATATCACATCAGTTCAACAAAAAGAAAGACATATTTTTCCTTTGCAGAATTTACTGAAGTTTTCTCTGGCATGAACTGGATACTGGATTAGTGTTTTCATATTGCGCACCATATTAATTACAACATATAAACCACAGAAAACAGTAACTTCTTTGTGGCTTGATCAGCGTGACTATGCCTGGCTTCTGATGTTCTGTTGAAAACAACACATACTAACGCACAAAATGCACAATGTTCATCAACAGTACGTGAACTTTACCTTTAGATTCATTAATAGAAGCATTTGTCATCAGATATACTTTCAAATACTACAGCAACACTTTTTTATTCAGAAACTATTCACATGGGATGACAAACTGAAAGTTTGCCACAATTTCCCATGGAATGTGTTCTAATTAAATTCAAATAAAGGACAACAACATGCCTGAAGGTGGTTTCACAGAAAATGAAAACCAAGTTGTCACTCAAGCATCACCTGTATTCCATAAAAATCACAAACTAGCAAACAGCTTTCTGAACACTTAAAACAAACTGGTCTCTTTTGTAAACTCTCACATGAGCAGAGCTGGGTGGAAAAAAGATTTTCCTTACAAATGCAAGTAATACAAATGGCCATTAAATATACCAAAAGGCCAGGTCCTTGAGCTGCAATGTGGATTAATACTCAGAAATACACTTCTGTTATTTGCAAGACTGTGGTTTAGCACAGAGGAAAACCTTTCAATATTTTCTTCTACTTACAGGATGGACCTGGCTGGTGCAGGAGACTCCATGCTTTGCTCCAAGTTCTTGGAAAGAATACTTCATCTGCTCAGGAGCATAGTTAGTTGGACACGTTCCAAATTCAGCACTTCTCTGGCTGATGCTGGGCAGTTCTGTGCATCTGCTAGCATCAACTGAACCAACCCCTCTGCACATACAGCCAGCCAGGCCAGTCTTGCTCTCATCTCTCCCTCTTGACATTAAAAAAAACCACGTTAATCACAAAAATCACATTAAAAAACAACCAAGCTCGAGCAAGAGAAGGCAGCCAAACAGGTCACTAAGCACAGCCAAAGCCACCAAGGAAACACACCCACCCGCACTTTGTCAGCTACCCACATAAAAACTCCACTGCCTCCGGTCACAAAAGGTGCCGACTCAGCGGCACTGCGCTTTTAAGGACATGCTTCCACCGCTACAACTCGCAGATCTGAACGCGCTTCACCACCAAGGCGCATCACTCAGCACAGGCAGACAATATCTCAGAGTAGCCCGTCCCTTTGTAATCCCCTTCTACCCGGGTTCCGTTCAGCCACTCAACAGTGGTTTGACTCCCGCTAGCACTCTCACCCAGGGAGCACCCCTACCGCCCACACCGCCAAAGGGCCAGTGGGATAAAGCTCCAAACCCCACCGCAGGAGCAGGCAGCAGCAGCACATCCCCCAGCTCCAACAGAGAACCCCACCGCTCCACCCTCACGGCTCCACGGAGCCCCCAGGCTCTGCCCACACGCCAGTCCCGAAAGCAGCGGCTAAGCACGGCTGCGACAGGCCGGCAAGCGCCCCCGCTCTCCCTTCCCCGCCGCATGGCTCAGGCTGCGCCCCGACCACCCCATGAAGCCGGCACAGGAACCAAGGGGAAACTGGACGGCTTCGTGGAAAGCACGGGAATGCAATACGTCCATCCCCACAGGAGGTTAAGCCCCGCCACCACGAGCTCAACCTCTAATCGGAAGCGGAAAGAGCTGCACACTCATCACAAATCCCCGAAGCTTCCCGAGCAACGTACCGCGCCGGGTAAGCCTGACCAATCGCGACCGCGAGAGGCGGGGATTAAGCGGATCACGTTAGATTGACAGGTCCTCCTCCCAGTGGAACTGCAGCAGCGCGGTTGCCTCCACAAATAGAAAAGCAAGATAGCCCCAGGGTTGCTGGGTGGGACGAGGTTCACTGTGTTTTCATGCAACTGGCTGTAAGTATTGATTGGCAGGTGACTAAGCCTATGTGTAGGAGGCGCTCCCGCTCGCGACCTTTCGTGGTCTCCGCCAATAGGCGGTGACGGTGACTTGCGGCCGGCAGTGGGAGCGCTGGGTGGCTGCGCGGCATGAGTGGAGCGATGCGTGCGGCTTGGCGGCTGGGGGCTGCCGCCGTGCGGTGCCGAGCTGGGCGCCCGCTGAGTCATGCGGCCGGGGAGGGTGGCGGCGCTGCCGCCGAGGGCAGCGGCGGCGGCGGCTCAGGGTCGCGGGAGGCGATAGAGCGGCTGGTGCGGGAGCACCCGGTGGTGGTGTTCATGAAGGGCAGCCCGGAGCAGCCGCTCTGCGGCTTCAGCAACGCTGTCGTGCAGATCCTGCGCCTGCACGGCGTGGAGGGCTACCGCGCCCACGACGTCCTACAGGACCCCGACCTCCGCCAAGGTCAGCGGCGGGCCGGGGCTGGGGCCGGGGGCAGTGGCTGCAGGGGGTCACCTTTGGGTGCCGTCTTCCCCGCTGCCGGGGCTGACTCATAACCCGAGCCAGCCCCTTGTTTCTCTGTGTGTAAGGTCGCTGTTAATGGGGCAGAGCCAGAACCACGGAGTGTTGATCTACTGCCCCGGCCTGTGCAGCCTTGCCGGGGTTACCCCGAGGGCTTTGGCCTTCCCGTGGGCTGCTCGGATAGCCTGCGGAGCGCTGTGGCAGTCCCTGCTTGCTTCTCACGGGCATAGCTTGGTTTTGCTCACTTTCTTGTTTGGTGTTCTGTCTTTTCCTTAGTTGTTGTGTTTGGTTGCTTTTGTAACCCCTGCTGGGTTATGTGCCAGGGTTTTAGGGTTTGTGGAGTTTGAAGCATATCATAGAGATGTGCTATTGAGGTTGCTATGTCTGGATGTCCCGTTTCGTTTCTGCTACCCTTACTGGGTCCAAGAGCGTCTTGGTTATCAGCCCAATGCGGTTACGTTTAGGAGGGTGATCAGGCTTTTCATACCACACTGCCTTGCCTAGTTAAGAGATACATAGCTGCGTGAAAAGACCCCTACAGATTTCATCTTCCCTTGCAACAGTGTGGTGAAATTTCATTAATTGCTTGGACTGTACCTCTTGATTCCCTGCTGGCACAGACTGTGGGGTTCCTTTGATAAAGTACAAAATTATGCTAATCGTTTGCACATTTTCCCCATTACTACTCAAGTGGTAGAAGCTATTCCATGTACATTTTTTGTCAGTTGTAGAAAGCTAGTACTCTGCCTTTGTAATGCCTTTCCTCTTTTCCCTCTTCTGTGTGAATAGCTGACTGTTGAGGTTTTGTGTGGTTATTTGAGAAAGTTTTAAAGCCCCAAACAAACCAAAATGGCTACATAGTAGCTAGTCTTGCCAGGTGTATGGCATTAACAGTTACTGTCCAGAACATACAAAAAAGTGCTTTAAAGCCACATGCTGGCATGTATCTGGTGAGTTCCTTCCCTGTTTTTGTTATCATTTGACTAATTGAGTTTTTCAGTAGCGTTTAGCTGAAAGGCTGGTTTTTTTTTCCAATCTGTGCAGTTCAAAGGTGTAATAGTTGGTATAAAAGCTTAAGTATTGGAATTTGGGTGTAATGATGTTTTTTTTTGAAAATGTTTTTGTTCAAGTAAATCTTCTTCTACCTTTGGCAGTTGAGCAAGTCATGGTAGTTTTTTAAACTTTATTTACCTATCTGAATTTATTAATTGTACGGTTTACTACAGGAAACTTATAAACCAGCTTTGACACTTGTCTTGACTGCATGGAGAGACAGCTTGATTTATTAATTGCATTGCTGGGTGCATGAGTTGATATAGTTTGTTGTATTGTGCGGCGAGTGACAGAGCCAGTACCAGTGCTGGAGTGCTGAAGAGTTGAAGAACTCCTTTCAAGGCCAGGAGGCTGTCTTACTGCTTCAACTGTGTACCTACTGCACCCTAAAAAGCCAGTATGTGCATGCTTCTGTTGGATGGCAGTCTCTGACAGAGGAGGGGGCAGGTCTACTGGAAGCTGTAGCTCTGTAAATTGCCAAGTGTGATTAGCAGTGACCGCCTGAAGACTCTCTTAGTCTCCTCCAGGATCTGACCTCAGGTTCTGAAAAGTTAGATATGCAGAATGAGACACTTTGCTAAACCCTCTCTGTAAACATAGTCTTCATTGCATGCATGTGGGGTTAATGAGGGGATGCTGAACCTTTGGCTGTAAAAATACCAAATACATCAATTAAAGATTGGTCTGTAAGGAGATTACTGTATGTGAGTTGGTCATCAGCTTTGTATTAGATCATAGAATCAACTAGGTTGGAGATGACCTTTAAGATCATAAAGTCCAACCTTTATCCCAGGAGTGCCAAGTCCACCATTAAACCGTGTCACTGAGGGCCTGAATGTATCTTAAATGTGCTTAAATGAACTTAACTTGCTATGCATATGTATGCTTATACATATATGTAGGAAGAGCAGTGTATTGGAGAGATGGTGATTCAGGCAAGTCTGAAGTGCTAGTTGTGGTGTTCAGACACAAAACCTGAAGTCAAAATCTCCTGGCTGGTGGTGTACTTTGCGGTTAGGAATGCTTTTTTTTTTTTCTAAGTTACTATTTTAGTAGTTTTTTTAAACACACTAAAGGGGGGATTGGCCAATTCCCCTTTGACTAAGGGGAATTATTAGCTCTATTTCATCTTTTATGCATTTAAAATAATAATCCAATCACACATGATGCACTTGTGCATGTATATACATTTATATAACACTTTCAAGTGTTTTTGAGTTCCAATAAAGTAAGCATAATTTGCTTATGGTTATTTTTTTACTTCATACATCTTGGGGTTTACCTTTAGACTCTTTAGAGGGTAAAATGTTTTCTAAGGGGAAAGCAAATTCCTTTGTGTTTTCTGCTGTACAGGTCTAATATTTGCTGTTAGTACTTTGACAGCCTGTACTAAAGCTTGTACTTGCTTGTTTAGAGGGGTGACTTCCCAGGTGAATGGGCTCTGATGGTTTATAAAGGCACTTTCATTGTCTGCAGGCTTAAATTTGCTATATGGGCTTCTGTGCTTTTGGTAGAAAAGTTCCAGGTATTGGGTATTGAAAATGTATAAAGATGTTAATTCAAAACTCGGTATCTCTAGCAAGTGCTGGTGGGCTTGGTGTGAGAGCATGCAGATGTAGAATTTGACTATTTCCTCTGATATAGAAATAATGGCTTTGTGTGAAGCATCATTTAAAAAGTGCCAAATTAGATATAATGCTTCTTCTGTACAATTTTTTGTGATATCTTTAAGTGCAAGTCAGGATTTGGTTTATACCAGCTAATCAGTTGGTATTTTTGAATGGTCTTGCATTTGTCTTCTAAGAAGTATAAACTTTTCTTGTGTACTTTCATAACTGTGAGTCAAGCTCAGTTTTGTTTAATGGGTACTTTCAAAGAGACTTTCAGCCTTTGTGCCCCTCCCATGGGCTGTAAGGTCTGGCAATGAAAGATAAAGCAATTTGAAATTCATAAGGCTCCTAGAGGGGTGAATGTATCTTGCAATTGAAATTGCAGTAGTAAATGTGACTGTATTAGTTTAGTAAGAACATAAAGTATTTTGAAGTCCCTTTGGAAAATGTAAAGGATAACTGAATGTAAACAATTCTCAATATTTTCCAATATCTCTCATTTAATTTATTGGAAAATCATATTTGTTTGTTTCCTGTGAGAGAAAAGAGGAACTACATTTTACCAGCTCCTGTTCGAAGTTAGTGTAGGAGCTGACTCTGTATCTTTCAGCCACATCTTTAAGTTGGAGTGAGGACCAACGTAACTGTAATGTAGTTTTTTCTGATAGTGCTCCTGTTACATAGATAAATTATTGCCTCAACTGGAAAGAAATGAAACTATCAGTAGTATTTTGAGGTGGAAGCAATGTATTCTGTTTAAAATGCTGTAGTATTTGAAGAGGGTAGAAAACTTTTAATACTCTTCCTTTTTTTTTCATTTTTTTTTTTTTTCCCTCTTATGCAGGAATAAAAAACTATTCCAACTGGCCTACCATCCCACAAGTATACCTCAATGGTGAATTTGTTGGTGGCTGTGACATACTCCTCCAGATGCATCAGAATGGAGATCTCGTAGAAGAGCTGAAGAAGCTAGGAATCCGTTCGGCACTTCTGGATGAAGAAAAAGACCAAGACAAAAAGTAAAATGGGGGGGGGGGGGGGAAGATGCTGTGAGAGGAATAAAGCAAATCTTAGATAAGAAGTTGTTACCAGTAAAGCCTTACGTACTTCAGCTCAAAGAAGGCATTTGTTGGAACTGACGCTAAGATTTTTCTGTGAATGTCTGTTAGTTCATGGTAGATGTAATGATATCAATATTTTGATTTATGGATATTGTGAAAATTTGAGTATAACCATTGCACTGTAAAGCTTACATTTGTGGAAATTTGTGTTTGGAAAAAGTTCACTTCTGAAACCATTTTCTTCTTGGATTGAGGGGAGTAAACCAAAAGAACTTGTATTTTTATGGATTTTAAGTGTGTGTTTCTCTGTTCTTTGATACACAAACCTACGCAAACAGTGTTTGCACTGCCTTGCTCCTTTTGAGAAAGTGTCAAGTAATAATGCATTCGTTTTGCCATAAGCTCCTTGTGGTAAGACTTCCTGAGAGTCTGTAAAACTTCTGTAATCCCACATGCTATAGGAGAAAAATAGTCTTCAAACAATATAGGAGAGAAAAATTATATGAGAGTACATGAAATATACTTTCATTCCAAAGGGTAAAAATAAAGGTTTATACAGATTACATGTATAATGGTCATTATTACTTTGTAACTTTCTGATAGCTTTTAAAAGGTTGTTAAGAATTGTGCCTCAGATTTTATAAAACCTTTTCTACCTCTTGCAAAGTAGCTTTCCCCCTGCTTATGTACTGTGTATAAGTTCTGTGTCAGTGCTAAAATGTGTGAATTATTTAAGGCTTCATTATTCTATCTTGAAATAGTACAGGAAAATACTGCAGTTACTGCTGTAATCTTGTATTATTTGCTAGTTACTTGTTATCTTTTTATATTTGTTGTATTTCCAAGTTATTTTCTCCTGACTGCTGTGCTCTGAAGAACAGGGTCTTCAGATGTGGGATTCACAGATGAAACGTTTCATGTAGATGAGTGCAGCAGAGAGGCTACTGAATAGATAAATACTTCTTCGTGGAAAGTCCCTGAAGTCTTCAATGCCTAACTAATCACATTTCTCTAAGTGAAAACATAATATTGACCCGTGTAACTTCAGCTGTACAGCAATACTGCTAAGGTTAAAAACTAACCAAGCTGTTTCTGCTTTTATTAATATAAACTAGTTTGCATGTCAATTAGGAAAATTATTGGAAATAAACTGTATTTATGTTGATTGTCTACAATAGTTCCTTGTCATTTTAAATGACTAATGAAACTGATACTACTTTTGTTTTGAAACCTAAAATGTTTTCCACTGCACGGGTTAGTTTTAGAGAAAGAAAAAATGATTAAATGGTCAGTGAAAGTCAGGATTGGAACTTGGTAGACAAGAGAGATTTGATGCAGATTCCGGTTCTAAATACCTCCTGTCCATTTGAGCAAGCTGTCCAGTGGAGCAACTATACTGCTATATTTGTTGCAGAATTTGCCAAACTGGTTACAATAAGCTTATTGTACAGTTACAATGCGATCAGTATCACCAGTATTAAATACAGCCTGTACATTTTCTGTGTATTCACTTGTTTGTGACAGCTGCCTGGATGTGACCGGGTGACCACTGAGTATGAGTAAATTGCACTCTAAGGCAGTCACTTGTGGCTGTTGAGCATGGAGATACAAGTGCAAGATTTTTTTTTTTCTTCATACACCACAGCCCCATTCATGAGATGTGGAGCTTTATGTACAGATTATGGTTAGTTCTGAGCATTTCAGCATTACGTCTCTTTGAATTCAAATTAAATAATTAAATAAGTTGCCTTATGGTTAATCTTCATGAGTAGGTTTTTGCCATTCTGAAAGTATGTTTTGAAAATAAGTGAATTTCAAAAGTCTTTAGTTATTCATGTCAAAAAGATGTATTGAAATGGATATACACACTAAATGAAGAGTAAGGACAAAAAAAATCTGCTTCAATGGTTAACTCTTAGTCTGGCTACTAAATAAATCTAAAAAAGCAAACCCACAAATCTGCTGTTTCATAGAGCTCTCTTCTTTATTCTTCTGTGAAAGTTGAATATTTTTCATTACTATCTGCTAGTTTAACATAAAGGTAACTTTAGCATTGTCAAGTCTTTCCGCAGCATTTTTTTTTTCCAGTATGAATTCCTTCCTTATACAGAAACTATAACAGTTTTTTTACTTTCCCTACTTCCTTCACTCCCCTTAGATTTTTGAATTGGTTAACATTTGGCATAACGTACGTAGTATGTCAGATTATAAAACTTAAGATGCTTGCTAAATGGCTTATTTGGGGAGTTTACAGGAAGTAAACTAGCTTGGTTAGGTTGATCCATTTTAGGAGATGGACAGTATTCTGCTCACCAACTTTTCCTCAGTATTCTGCTCACCAACAAGAGGCAAAAAGGGTGCTTCCAATCCAAAAGGAATGCTGCTGCAAATAAGCTGACTTTTTGTGTGTGTGTGGAAAAAAAACCAAACATGCCTCTTGTTAAGGAGAAATTTGCCCCTGTTTTGATGTGCTCCTTGGCAATGAGAGAAGGCAGCTGGTAGTACTGGAGTCTGAGGTAACAAATCAGTGGGTGTGCTGAGCTAATACTGGGGGGCTGGTGCTAGCTGGGAAGATCCATGGGGACTCCCTGGCTGGGAGGATGTGAAGGGTTGTGTGGAGGAAAGGATGACTTTTTTTTTCCCCAGGAGTAGTAGCTTGTCACAGGAGGAGGGGGGAGAAAGATGGGAAAACCACTGGCACTACTGTTTGCTCTTCCCTGGATACTCTGCAATAAGGTGGAGATGGAAGAGGTAATGATGGAAGAGGAACACAGCTTAGGAAGGCTGGCTGAAGTTGCAGGGAAGGACAGCTAGCTGGGGGCAAATATGGGGAGCTGCCCTTGCTGTCTTTGGTAAAGAAAGAAGCAAAGCTACCTGCTCTTGAGTTTGATCTGCTGGGCTAAGAATATGGCAGGTGTCAGGGCTGTGCACATTGCCTCCTGCAGGACTTCTACAGATCAAGGTTGTATGGAACTGCCAGCTCCAAAATACCGTGAAGTTCAATTCCCACAATTTGTGCTGTGTGTTGCACTGGGCAGGCGTTCTGGCTTGGCTGCTCTTTTGGTGAGAGACTTCTGAACTCGCTTCAGTCATGTTGCACTGCTGATGGCTTACAATGAGAGGAGTGCATGTAAACTGTTATCAATGTTTGGTTTTATATTATTATAGGATTGTATTATGAATGTTTGCCGAATTGGAAAACATTGTTATTTTAATTTTATTCTGAGGATGCCCTTGGTGGTGCTCCTCCTATTGTAAAAGGCTGAGCTGAGTGGACCAACCTATTCACCAGATCATAAATTAAGCTAATCCTCTGCATCTTCTAACACTCCTCACCTGTTGCATATAAAGCAAGGTAGTTTCATTTAAGCAAATGAGACTGTTCCTATTCTAAAACTGTCTGCTGCCCTAAGCCTTTGAAGACCAGGTAGGGTTTCTTTGCTTTTCTTGGACTGGTTCTGGTGGGCAGAAGGAAGCAGGTTACAAACACTTGTTATTGTGCCTTTAGTTTTGATTTGGGAGAATTCAAATCAGTTAAACCAAAAGTTGTTTCTCGGAGAAAATGAGCTGTTAACAGCTCATGGTAATGTGTTTCTCAGCCAGATGACTTTTTCCTTGCCTTAATTTTGCTAGCTAGCAAATGTGTGGATGTGGTCAATATTCTCCATTGCTTATCTACTCTGGGGGGAAAAAAGTTTATACTGTTTAAATACCCTGAAATACTTGCCTTTATTTGGGTGTGACAGCATGGAGATTTACTTTCATGTTCTCAGTTCTGCGAGTCTCTTTAAAAAGTGGGTTAGGAATCTTTGGCAGGATTTTTCCAGAAGCCTGTCAATGCTAACAAAGCAATCAAGTGTAGGAACATGAAATCAAAGAATCATATCAAGGAAAATCTCTCCTGAACTGACCCCAAGAATCCCATTATGGCCCTGTTAGTGCCTGCATCTAAGAAGGGTGATACTAAAAAGCAGTGCTGAAAGCCTGAACAATAAATCCCCGTCTAATGTGGTTTGCATGTCCCTTCTGCAGAAACCAGATCTTACAAGGGGTTTTTCAGCATCTGTATTACAGGATTGTGTGAGGAAAAAATGCTCATGAGTTACAAGATACACATTGCCTGTTAAAGAGCCCCCATGAATGAAGGTGGAAAGATAGTATCATAGAATCATAGAATAGTTAGGGTTGGAAAGGACCTTAAGATCATCAAGTTCCAACCACCCTGCCATGGGCAGGGACACCTCACACTAAACCATATCACCCAAGGCTCTGTCCAACCTGGTCTTGAACACTGCCAGGGATACAGCATTCGCAACCTCCCTGGCAACTTATTCCAGTGCCTCACCACCCTAACAGGAAAGAATTTCCTCCTTATATCCAATCTAAACTTCCCCTGTTTAAGTTTTAACCTGTTACCCCTTGTCCTGTCACTGCAGTCCCTAATGAAGAGTCCCTCCCCATCATCCCTATAGGCCCCCTTCAGATACTGGAAGTCTGCTATGAGGTCTCCACGCAGCCTTCTCTTCTCCAGGCTGATCAGCCCCAGCTTACTCAGCCTGTCTTCCTACGGGAGGTGCTCCAGTCCCCTGATCATCCTCATGGCCCTCCTCTGGACTTGTTCCAACAGTTCCATGTCATTTTTATGTTGAGGACACCAGAACTGCACACAATACTCCAGGTGAGGTCTCACAAGAGCAGAGTAGAGGGGCAGGATCACCTCCTTCGACCTGCTGGTCACACTCCTTTTGATTCAGCCCAGGATACAGTTGGCTTTCTGGGCTGCAAGTGCACACTGCCAGCTCATGTTCATTTTTCTCATCAACCAGCACCCCCAAGTCCTTCTCCACAGGGCTGCTCTGAATCTCTTCTCTGCCCAGCCTGTAGCTGTGCCTGGGATTGCTCCGACCCAGGTGTAGGACTTTGCACTTGGCATGGTTAAACCTCATGAGGTTGGCATCAGCCCACCTCACAAGGGTGTCAAGGTCCCTCTGGATGGCATTGCTTCCCTCCAGGGTATCAACCGAACCACACAGCTTGGTGTCATTGGCAAACTTGCTGAGAGCGCACTCAATCCCACTGTTCATGTCAGCAACGAAGATGTTAAACAAGACTTGTCCCAACACCGATCCCTGAGGGACACCACTCGTTACTGGTCTTCAGCCAGACATTGAGCCATTGACGACAACTCTCTGTGTGCGGCCATCCACCCAGTTCTTTATCCACCAAGCTGTCCATCCATCAAATTGGTGTCTCTCCAATTTAGAGACAAGGATGTCGTGTGGGACAGTGTTGAAAGCTGTCCATCTAGAAGACATCAAGTGCTCTACCTCTGTCCTTCACTTCTGTAGCCCCATCATAGAAGGCCACCAAATTGGTCAGGCAGGATTTCCCCTTAATGAAGCCATGCTGGCTGTCACCAAGTACCTTGCTGTTTTTCATGTGCCTTAGCATGCCATCCAGGAGAATCTGCTCCAAGATTTTGCCAGGCACAGAGGTGAGACTGACTGGTCTGTAATTCCCCAGGTCATCCATTTTCCCCTTCTCGAAAATGGGGGTTTTATTT